ATTGTTATTAAAATGACTTAAATTCGATCATGTTGTGATATTTAGAAATATAAATTTGTTTGGTGCGAGTGAGGTTTTATTTAATCTCTGACCCAGGGAAACGTTTTATTTTTTCAAAGAAATGTTTGTTAAAAAAAAAGTCATGACTCCAGCGGGATTCGAACACACAGGGTGTGAGGTGGGAGTCAGGAACCTAACCCACAGCGCCACCGGCAAGGTCACATGCAGAGGGCTGAAAAGCACTACAGAAACATTATCAGCAGACAATGTACAGTGTGTACTATTCTTGTTTTGTGGTACATGAATATAATTATATCGTTATTAATTTCTTTAGATACGAGATTCCATATTACATTCCCTTTTAATCAAATTCTAAAAGTATTCTTGTTGACTACGGTATCACATTACTTAAAGACGTCGAAGCTTAAAATGTTTACGGAGAAATGGAATACTGGTGTGTATTTTTTATTTAAAGTACCGAGACCAGCCATATACTGTATGTTTATGTTCCAAAATTAATGTAGTTTATGGCCTTCACACGCGTTACAGTATGCCCCTATTCTTTTTATGCTCAGGTACTAAGATTTCCCTTCAGTGGTAAAATTCCATATGAATATTCAATGCTAAAACGGGCACAGTAAAGACATTTACTGTAAATCTTTCTACGACCGACCAACGGACCACGAGTGCCCCTGTCGGTCAACAAATCACGTACCGCGGTATTTTATTACGCCGTAGCCAATTACCTCCGGTACGTGTCTGTACCACGCACTTTGAATGGCTGCATCTGTAGAGATTTTTTTTTTCTTGGGGAACAAGAATTTCTCTCTGGATTGCAAGAAAACTAGATCTAAATATCTGATAATCTATAATATTACACCATACATGCATTTTATAAACCGTATATACCTAGGTTAAAAAGAGGCAATGGACTTTTTCAGTAAGGCACAACAATGTCTTTTCACTTAGCTTTAGGAAAAGTTTATTTTAGTAAATTCTCACTTAGCTATGTCTGTTTGAATTGCAGTTCTTCTGCTTTTTTTATTGCTTTTTTTAATCTCACTGTGCCCTTATCTGTTTCCTCTTTCAGGACATCAGGCACCAAGCACAACAAACTGTGGTACGCGGCCCTGGCTCTGAACACCCTGATTCTGTACTCGGTGGCAGTTGGGGCCCTGGTTGTGATGATTATTTTCCACACACACTCCGAAGGCTGCTTTCTCAACAAGATTTTCCTTGGCCTCAATTCTAGCTTGTGCTTATTTGCTTCATTTTTAGCCATCTCGCCATGCGTTCAGAAATGTGAGTAGTTAAGTATTCCTTTCTAACATGCATGAAGTGTATAGATGGTTAGTGGAGAAAAAAGGAAACACCGATGTTAAGTCACTTAATAGGATATTGGTCCACCACATTGGCCAGTATTGGTTGTAGTTGCAGTGGCATAGTGTTTGCCATCATGTTGCTACTGGAAAGATGCTGCACCATTTTGAAGTGAGAAAGTCAATCAGCTTTGCCTATGTTTTGCGTTTTATGTTCCGTTTGTTACTTTTCTTAACTTGAAATGATCTTCGCCCTGCAGTGAAGCCAAACTCAGGCCTGTTGCAGTCAGGAGTCATCAGTGTTTATGTCATGTACCTCACATACTCTGCACTAGCAAGCAAACCCGCTGAATACTGTGAGTATGGCCATTTCATAAAGGAACTGCATGGTCTTCATGATTTCACTTTTCTACGCATTGTTAGCCAAGACAGGTAGATTTATTTTCAGAACTGGGAAGAAGACAGGAGATATATTTGGATTAGCTTATCTGAGTAAACTAAGTGTAATATTCAAAGATTGGTACAGCCTTCTTGATGTATCTGTAAATCCTAGGAGGAAAACCATTTACATTCCTGTGATGCTCACACAAAGATCATACGTTACTTGATACATTTAAGAACAGCTTGTCCTGAAGAAGCCATTTATTATATTATGATAATACAACAGCACATACGTTTAAGTTACAAACCATTCTGAATCATTTTACACTTGCAACCCTAGATTCCGATATGCATTTGATATGATTAGTAGGTAAGGCTTATTTTTTATGTTTTAGCTGTAACAGAATTTCAAAACTGTATGTGTTAAATGGTCTGTGCAAGTCAAATACTTCTGTGTTAATGATCGGAGTCTGCAAGTTTATCATATGTAAACACTATAGAAGAGACATTGCACATTAACCACATGTAATCCATAAAGCAAATTCCAGATCAGTAGCATTATTTAGAGTTGTTTTACAATGATATGGGCTTCTAAACAGTCAGAACTGGCGTTCGATTGGGGTTAAGAACCAGTGATAATGCCTGGGCATGACGTTAGTCCCAGATTGACAGAGAGTATTGATTAACCATTTCAATTTAAGGAGTAATCATATCACTTTCTTTCCTGCTGTGTTACTGCCGCCAGTTTGGTGAATTTTAAGTGAATAGGCTTTCACAAAGAAATTTGTGGATGATGCCATTGATTTATATTAACCTTGTATATTACATAGATCTATGGGCAGCATGGGGGTGCAGTGGTTAGCATTTTTGCCTTTGACTGCTTGGGGTCCTCGGTTCAATTGTAAATCTGGGGTGCTGTCTGCATGGAGTTTATATGTTCTCCCTGTGTTTGAGTGGGTTTCCTGTGGGTGCTCCAGTTTCCTCCCACAGTCCAAAAACATGGGTAGGTTAAGGTTACTGGTGGCCTCAGGCAAAATAAGCCCCGATGCAAGTGTATGCATGTCTGTGTTTGTGACTGTGTGTGCCCTGTGATGGACTGGCATCCCATCCACTCTGCCATGTGCCTGTTGCTTGCCGGGATGGACTTCTTCTTCCCTATGTACTAGATGAAGTAGTTGGAAAGTGGATGGGTGGGTCAGATAGAACTGTAATTTTTATGATTCACCTTTGAAGCGATGCGTGAAATCTTTAACATAAAATTATTGCAAAGTCAGCAATGCTCAAGTTAAAGGTTTTTGCTTTATGGTGTGATTAAAATGTCATGTGTAAAATAAAGTTTTGTTTATTAATTCGTGCTCAATTCCTTTGCAGATGTGGATGAAACAGGTAGAAACACTACCATCTGTGTCCCTCCCTTCAACACTGATTCAGATATCAATTATACCGTCAAAATTTTGGGTGGAGTTATAATGGTCGGTTGTGTGGTTTATTCCTGGTAGGTTTGACCTTTAATTATTTTGCCTTCATTTCATTTTAGTAAGAAAAACTGTTTTTCCTCTTCATAAACACACTAAACACACTAAAAATTGAGAGTGAAAAATACTCCCTCTACCTGACCCACATAAGTATAGACACAAGTAACAATCTGCCCTTTCCTTGTGATTCTTCACATTATTCCTTCTACCCATTCACTGCCCTTGCTGCTGCTTTTTGGCTCGTTCCAATTAGCAATTGTTTGTCTGTGTTTTGGAATGTTATCTTCATCCTCAAGGTTAAGTCCTGCACCGGACAGGACAGCTTATTCAACAAATTACATAATATTTCACTGGGTTTCACTGGGTTTATCAGCAGCTGACAAATTAATTTAGACACTTTTGCTTGTGCTTGGTAATCCATTTCCTGCTTTTTCAGTTGAACAGCTAAACTGTCTCAGTTCTACTTCTTCTGCTATATATATAACTTTGAATCGTATCTTCCAGTTCCTATAATGCCAAGCTAAGACATGTGAGCGATGACAGTAGGAGTGAGAAATGTATTTATAAACTTTAGAATTTGTCATTCATTTTTAAAATAATGGAATCTTGCATTTTTTTTCTTTTAGTATTCCGTAGCGCTTAAAAGTGTTGTTTTATGTTCACCACAAGCATAGTACACATTGAAAACTTAAAACTTCAACTTCAACTTCAGAAAAAAAAAACGTTTTGCCCATTTTATTAGTAAGAGTAAAACTGCAAAGACAAAAATGCTAAAACACAGTAACTTTCTTTTTTCGAAGCTGTAAGTGTTGATGGTTGTCCTGAGCCAAATTTCAATAAAACTCCTATGGTTATTATAAAAACCAAAACAAGGTCGCACTGGAAATAATATTGAACATATTATTGAGCATCAATAACCACTAGTGAGCAAAATAACAAACACTCAGTAATTTCTCAGTAATATATCGGGATAACTGAATAGAGTGGTACAGTGGAGTACACAAAACCCCATCTGCTTATCCTCAGAATTCTGTGGAAATCTCAGTTATTCACCAGAAACAATAATAAAGAGAAGTCCTTTCTCCTGGTTGCTAGAGTTGACTCCCTCCAAGACATATACAGCTATCTGCACAAAATAGTTAATATATTTCCATAGGTATGTCCACACTCAAATGCAAACAGAGAAAATCGTAAAAGGATTATTAAAGGCATACAGGAACGTAGGGCAGTCAGTGGGTTAAAGTGGTACAAATTGATAACTTGTGAGAGAAAGACTAAAGGCATACTGTAAGAAACAAGATACAAGTGTTCTTGGATATAAAAAAAAATAGAGAACCAAGGTCACAGAAGCTGGAAAATTAGTAATTATGCATTTCATCTCTTTATCTGCCCTGAGAAATGTAGCTTTACTTGTACATAAGCCTTTGAAAACTTGCATTCTGTGGCTACCCCCTGCAGTGGCTTCAAAGTGTTTTCATGTTTGGAGACAAGTCTACCGTGAAGTAATCTCTCTAATTGAACCCTGATGTGTGAAAACCAGTTAAGCTGTCTCTGATGCAGCTGCAGAAAGTAAAAACCGGTCATGGTCCATACTCCTTTTGTCCTAATTCCCTTTTACCACTACAATTGTCACACAAATAAGTTGCATTTAAATTATGCTCGTCATCTCAAAGGATCCAGAAGCACTTTGCATTTAGGAGGGGACCCACTAAAGCTACAGTATAACCTATGATCAAGTACAGCACATAATAAGTGAAGAACAGCAGGCATTGTAAGCCAGTAACCACACAAGGCAGAAGATCAAGTGAACACGTAGGAAATTGCTTCACCAGAATTTAATGGGACTTAAGTAGGTCAGATTGTGTAAGACCAAAGTGTTTAGATTTACATGAGTAAATTTAGCCAAGACACTGTAAAGACATTCGAAACGGGACCTTGGTTAAGTGTTTCATGCAAGAACCTGTGTTTTCTACAGCACAGTGTTCCCTGTCATTAAATGACATTGATTGGTCTAGAGGGTAGAGGCTCATCAGCTGGTCCACCAATACCTCTTTGTATCACCATGGTGTTCCTAGGAGGTTTCCCATTCCAGTACTGACTACTCTCAACCGTGCTTAGCGTATGAGAATTGGTTAAGAACTGGCTACAAGAAGTAGTTCTGCTGTTATACTGTAGATTCTTCAAGACAGAAAAGGTTCAGACTTTGCTGTGAGAAATAGAAATGAAACGCAAACGTGTTTTCACTTGGATTTTGCGTTTTCATTACAGTTTAACATCTACTACAAGATCAAGTACTGCAGCCTTAGGAGTATCCAAGAACCCTGTTCCCGAGAATGAGGTACTCTATGACACACTGAAAACTTCCTCTGGCATAAAAGCAGTTGCCCACAAGTTGTGCACAATTTTCATTACCCATTTTAGGTAAAAATTAAGTGTTCTGCGAGTGCTCAAGCTAGGGTAAGGGTTAAGGTTTGAACAACCTCTAGGAGGGGACCCACTTAACCTAAATCCTATGATACTATGATTCAAACACAATTCACGTGATTAAAATATAATTGTGGTGCTGAATCTTGTGGTGCTGCACAGGATTATAAAATTCAAACCCCACAGAATTGTTACCAAACTTAACATAGTGATCTATTACTGTGGTCAGGGCATTGCTGACCATGCTTGAACATGCTGGTACACATATGCCCACAAAGTTTCTTCTAATTAACTTGTTTTTTTAGGTGTTTTCTCCCTCTGTCTATGATTGTGCTTCACTGTCAGCAGCCTCTATAGACTAAGCTTGTTGTTTTCAGTGTTTCATTCTCATTTCAAAAAGTCCTAACATTTACTTATTATACTTACAGGTAGCACGTTGCTGCTTCTGTTTCAGTCAGGAGGATGAAGGTAATTATCACTTTCTTTATGCGTAGAGGGGTTATTTTGAAGATAACTGAACAACACAGCACAAATGTTAACACAAAAATATATTTCCAGTTTACAGATGAAAAAACTCTAAACCAGAGGCTACCCACCCCATGAGAGCCTGAATAACTAAACTAGCAAGTGAACTTAAAAAAAGACAGGTTTAGTAGCCCCTGTGCCATCAGTCATTGTCTCCAAAGATTGTAGATCTCTTTCCCTGGCAACCTGAGCAGTAGGGAGTAACTCCATGAGAACCACTTCAAGAAAGGCAAAGACTCAGTGGCATCTGGAAAGAGTGTATGGCAGGTACCAACATAGATCAGTTAGCCTTTTAGCAGGAATAATGTCAGCCAGCCACACTCTTTTCGATATTATCAAACTTCAAGGAAAGTCAATCCAAACATTTTCAAAGAACGTCTTCCAATTCAGTGACATGAGGGAGCCAGAGCCTACCTTGGCAAGCAACAGGTGTAAAGCAGGATACACTCAGGATAGGATGCCAGTCCATCACAGGGCACACACAGACAGGAATGCACTTGCACCAGAGCCAGTTTTCCCAGAAGCCACCAGTAACCTTAGACTACTAATATGTGTTTAGACTGTGGGAGGGAACAGAGCAAATGACATGTCTGTGTGTACCCTGTGACTGGCTTCCCATCCAGAGTGTATCTTGCCTTGTGCCTGAAACCTGTAGACGAAACCTACGGGGTGAATAGACAAACTCCCTACAGACAGGGAAAGTCATTGTTCAGTAATATAACCAGTTACATTCTTCTTATGAACCATTGATAGTATTGAACAGACCTTTTCCCAAAGCACGTGTACACTACATTTACAAACCATATGGAATAATGTACTATTGCTTCTTGAGAAGACAGAGTACGCTTAGACAAGTCAATAACATGCATTAGAAAACATCACAAGCGAGGGGTGGTTAAGTAAATGCTATGGATAAACTTAAAATGGATCAACTGGTGGTCAGGACTTTTAGAACCCCAATTCAAATTTATCCAAATGATATCATTAGAAATTCTTCTTCCTACAAGAGATAAATCCTTTTTCCAAATACTGTTGACCCTCGTGTGGGATTAAATAAATACCTCAGATTAAGAGATCCCCCTTGTATTCAGTATTTTATGTAAAGTTGAGCAATGGAAGCACTGTGTTTCTGCATTATGTTTCTGTAGGAAAAGTGGTAAGAAAAAATAAAAGTACTTGGCATTTTGTAACACAATTGAAAATCTTGGACGGTTCTTAAAATTCTTAAAATTTTATCCTGAATAATGTTGGCAAACACATAATTACCTTACCCAATAAGTACAGTAATTAACTAGCTCAGGCATTGACAAAGGGTACAGCATTGTAAAAACAGGAGGATATGAGAGCCATTTTGTTCCGGTTTTAAGTCTTTTTACTAGGCGCTAGGCGCCACTGTATATAATTAAATATGAAAAGCAGATCTTGCAATCAGTATTAAAAGACTAAATTTTCCTTTAGTTTTTTCCATGTAACTGAAGCTCTATCTTGAAACCAATACCTTGACTGGATGCAGCATAATTATCCGGAAACAACATTTCACAAAGGCAATTCTAACCAAGTTACCAAAGCTCTCATAAGTAAAAAAGTAAAGTAAATTAAATAATGTTCCAGCAATCTTAAGAAAGAGCAGTGCAAACAAAGAGACTGGGCTGAAAACGGAAAGCAAAAAAGGTGTGTTGGAATAAATGAGATTAACAATAATTGAAGAATATTTGTACAAGACTTCCCTCTGCTGGTGGGAAAGAAACTCAAGGAAAAAATGTTTCTGTTTTTTCAAAGGCCTGTGCATTTAGGCTTGATAAACATTTTAAATGTTTTTAAAGATATATTGACCTTAGTTAATCTCAAGAACTCTTCTTTAACGTGTTTTTATAAATTATATGGTTCATGCTCTATTCAAAATGTGTAAAGCATCTATAAATAAGAGTTCAATAACCGCAGGCAATGAATAATGATCATTAGAACTTCATAACATAACAAATAGTTTTGTAGTACAATTAGATGCAGAGACAATGTGGTGATGCATTTTAAAAATACATAACAGTATCAAATTATGACATTTAATAATAATACTGAAGCTAAGCAGGTGTGAGCCTAGTCAGTACCTGGATGGGAGACCTCCTGGGAAAAACCTAAGGTTGCTGCTGGAAGAGGTGTTAGTGGGGCCAGCAGGGGGTGCTCAACCTGTGGTCCATGTGGGTCCTAATGCCCCAGTATAGTGACGGGGACGCTATACTGTAAACAGACGCCGTCCTTCGGATGAGACGTAAAACTGAGGTCCTGACTCTCTGTGGTCATGGCGTTTCTCTAAAAGAGTAGGGGTGTTACCCCAGCGTCCTGGCCAAATTTCCCATTGGCCCTTACCAATCATGGCCTCCAAATAATCCCCATCAATGAACTGGCTTCATTACTCTGCTCTCCTCCCCACTGATAGCTGATGTGTGGTGAGCGTTCTGGCACACTATGGCTGCAGTCGCATCATCCAGGTGGATGCTCACATTGGTGGTGGTGGAGTGGAGTCCCATTACCTGTAAAGCGCTTTGAGTGGAGTGTCCAGAAAAGCTCTATATAAGTGTAACAATTATTATTATAACATTTAACTTGCTTATCAAGTGGATTTCTAGTCACATAGATTTAATATCAAAGCCAGTATACTGTAAGTGAGAATCACAATTTTCCCATGATAAAATATCAGAAATAAATATTCTGGCCAACAGGACTGTAAATGTGACAGTAATTGGGTTATTTTAGTTGTATTGTTAGTCCAATACATAACTGTAGTTATTAGATTATTCTTATTAATGTTCTAGCTCCAATGCTTTCATATTACCATTGTATATATTTTAAAGTGGCCTTTGATCTGCATTTGAATGAAGATACCCATCCATTATTGTCCTGTTAACACCTGTGTTCTCTGTGCAGCGGACTACTATGTGGATAATCGAAGAGGGGGACAGAAAGTGATTTATGATGAGAGGGAGGGTACCGTCTACAGCTACGCCTTTTTTCACTTTGTCTTCTTCCTTGGATCTCTCTACGTCATGATGACAATCACCAACTGGTTCCAGTAAGTAAGAGATTATGTTAAAGATATAGAGAACGTAATATGCACAAGGAATGGCATAATTGTTTGATAAAACTGTACTGCGTATAATGCTTTTTACCATAAATGTTACAACTACAATTTTAAGTTTAAATACTAAGTGTTGCACTGGTCTGTACAAATAGTTTACATGAAGCTCACCAAATTTTGATATAGCAGAGCCCAGTCCAGTGGTAGTGTCACCAAATGCTTTTTAAAGTAAAACGATTTTTACTTCAGTCATCAGCAAAGCCCTGGGCCTAACCTACACTGGAGTGGTAAAGGATAAGAAAGTGAATTTCCTTGAGTGGCCCAGCCAAAGTGCCGCACCTGAATCCTTTAGAGAATCTGTGGAAAGACCTGAAACCCGCTGTCAATATCGATACCCAAGCAGATTCAGAGAGCTTGAGCAGATCTATCTAGACAAATGGGCAAAAATTGCACCAAGCAGGTGTGTGAAGTTGATAGCGTCCTAACCAAAAGGATTTCCTGCTGTAAGTGCTGCCAAAGCTGCTTCCACCAAATGTTGAGTTCAGGGGTCTAAAGACTTTTGTACAGTCATTGCTGTCCACTGTATGTCAGTTAATTCTCTCCACTTTGAGCATTCACGTTTTGAATAAAATATCAAGTTAAAAAATACATATGCATTATTTTATAGCCTTTTATTACCTTTGGATATTAAAGGTGGCTGCACAGCCAAAGTAATCATCATCCTGAGGAAAGTCAGAGAATCATCCAAAGACCTGACCTAAAGAAATCGTGACTGACAAATTTCTGGTGATGGCTAAGAAATCATAAAATGAAGGTTTTGTTTCAGGTTCAATCATAGTGTTCTTCATGAAATTGTTCCGAGCTAGTGGGTGGCAGCTATCCCATCAGCAAAAGAACACATGGAGGTTTTACCTAAAGTGTAGGGACGGAAGAAAGTGTTTTGTGAAGCTACAATTGAGAATCTCTCAAGACTAGAATTCCACAGTAACCACAAGAATCTGGCATAATAAAAAGAAGAGACTTGAATTTGCCAAAATGCAAAACCAACTGCCATGTCAAATGGGACTATGTAATGTGATTGGATGAAACACAAACATGGTGCCTCTGTCAGAGAAATCTTGAACTTGGTCCCAGAAGTACTTTCCAGCTGGATAGCAGACCACAATAATCATTACCGTCTGTGTACCGAATGGCTAAATGAGCATTAAAATAATGTTATTGACTGGCCACCATTTCCAGCATTTGTAGTATGAGCTGAAGAATACAGGAGGCTTGTGCATGATACACAACCTGGAGTAATAAAAGTGTTAATAAATTCCTCCTGCGAAAAGTATGAAGTATGAAAAGCTGATAACACGCATACATAAATTTGGCCTTCTTTGCACATTATTTACAAAATGGAAATTGACAAATGCATCATGATAACCTTTTAGTATCCCATCTCATGATATAACCACAGTTTCATTCATTTTATATGCTGATATAAATCAATGTTTTTTTTTATCAAGATCTGCATGTACCCATTACCTCGGTTGGGTATTTTACTGAAGCAATCTCAGTGGCATTGCGTTACATAAGGGTACAACAACAGGGCCCCTCATAAAGTTTGATTACAGGAATGACCTTAAGATCATTAAAATTTAAAGAAGATCCACAAAATACAGGTTCCTAAGGTGTGAATACATTTGAACATTGGCATTAAGAAATAACAGTATTTTTATGGCATATATAATATACAGTATATACATATATAGATAAATAGTCTGTGATATTTAGACTACAGGTACATATTTTCAATTTTCCAGAAAAACTTGCTGTACACCTGTATTTTCTTTGTTAGAGCAGTTTATTATTTTTGGCTTTTTTGGTTTATTAGGCTCTCCCGTGACTCTGTATTGGGTAAATTGGTTAGAAAATAGATGGCTGGCATTGATTATAGGAAACTTGAGCATCCTAACTTGTGTTTACTCATTGTCCGCAGTTACGAGGATGCCAAAATCGAAAAGCTGTTCCATGGGAGTTGGTCCGTTTACTGGATCAAGATGGCTTCTTGTTGGTCCTGTCTGTTTCTCTTCACATGGACACTCATGGCACCGCTTATGTGTCCCAACAGGGAGTTCCTTGCCTGAGGACTCTGAGCTCAGAAATCTTCCTAGCACTACCTTTCTCCTCCTTAATGTTGGTTTTGTATTCAAACTAGTTACTTTAACTCCGTTAATTTAGATGCTGGGTGACATCTGTCCTCTAAAGCCTTTTCATTAGGAGGACTTCAGTAAATAGTATTGTATTTGTCTTTATTAATGTTTTCTAAACTTCTCACTTAGTGAGGTTTCAGGGCAGAAATAACATTTTCCACCTTTAGATTGTGTGACAAAGCGAACCAGCCAGGTGAAAAAAAAAACACTCAGGCCCAAAATTCACCTTAAAGTGTCTTGCCTGTTACATTGTTTTGAAGGTTAAGTGTCCTATGCAAATGAACAAACTTGTAAAATATTTTTTACTGTCGGTTCATTGTTTTCTAATTGCAGTTTTTTTCCAAAATGAAAAGATTTTTTGTAGTAATTATGTAGGTGTGTTTTATATTTCTAAAAAGGGCCATGTATCCCACAAGCTTTTTTGTCAGTTTTATAGTTTGTGAGGCCAATTTAAAATGGGGGTAATTCTGTGACATGTGTTCTGTCAGTATTAAAAGCCATAATCGCTGTGAGAAATTGATTAGCAACAGATGAGAGTTTTGATTCTATAGAGATTTGTGACACTCTGTCATCAGCCAGATGCTGTATTTTCCAAACTAAAACTGAAACAAATGTTTCTATAAAGCGTGTGTAAGCAATTAAGTGAAAAACTGGTTTCTGAAACTGTGCAACACTAGCAAAACAAGATGCAGCTTGTGTAGCGTTCCCTGATCTCACATGACATTCCACATTGTACCTCAGGATATATAATTCTGTGTAATCATGGACGAATTACTGTTTCTCACACATTTTTAAGACAACTCAAAAATGGACCTGAGCATAACAGAAATGCGCAGTAAATCGATGGCCTTGTTTTAGGTTATTTTCTTGCTTATCCGGATACGTGGAAATACTTCCATCTTTAATTGTGAATGGAAACATTTTTAATTAGCTGAAGAACAGATAACTGTAAACAGAAATTGTTTCATGTTCTAGAATCAGTTAGCACCTAGGAGCAAGATGTGCTTAGTTATACCTGCTTCTTCTTGTGTTTTTCATTTGTGTTTTATAAAGTTGTGAAGCTGTTTTTTTTTCTTAGTTCTTAATGTTTACGTATATTTGAACATGGACTTATGAAAGAGCCTATGAAAGCAAAATTAAAACTGATAAAATACTGCATACCAAAGGTACATAAGGAGTTAAATTAATTTTAAATAACTAAATGTTGTATCAGAAAATTATTTATAATAAATCCATGTTAAGAGTCTTCCAAAGCTGCCTGATATTGGCGCCTAGATCGAGGTAAATAAATTTTTTCGCTAATTATCATTTTTAGTCTCCTGAGTAGTGAGTCTTGTGGCTAGAGTTTTTATTACATAATTGAGACCCATCAAAATCCAGTACACAGTATCATTTTGGATATATTACAAGCAAAATCAGGCTATTATAAATACTTTTTCTTATGAAAACTTAATGACAGAATACTTTTTTGTCTTTCTCAGGTGCTGTCTTTTGTTTTAAAAGGCTGTAAACAAGAAAAGGTTATTTAATATTACATTTATATGCTAATGTGATACTAAAATATAACACCATAGCATTGAGTTTTGGATTAATGGATAATTCATTTTTTATGAAAATCTCAAAAGGAAAGCAAAAAATGTTATTAATAATTTTAGCAGAGCAGAGATTTCAGAAACAAAAATCCATTTTAACTCGCAACTACATTTTTAGTCAGTGGATTTGAAATTAGAGTACCTCCAACCTTTTTTTCATTTAAGGGTAGATTAATGCACATTGGCATTGCTCATCTCCAGCTGTGTTAGTAATTTATTAAGTGAAATAGTTTGGCTGTTATTTATTTGACAATGATTGTTTATTTAGAGAATGATATTGTGGGACAGGGAAAGAACCAATTCTTAAATCTACTAATGTTTGCAGTAATCTTCAGTTATTCCAAGCTTGTAGGATGCAGCTGTGAATCACAAAGTATCATTCATTATTTTTCAGACACCTTCCCATTAAATTCTACAGCAGTAAAAGCAGATATTCTATTTTAAATACATTTTCTGTTAAGGATCAAATGCACTTTGGAGTAAAAAAAGCTATTTTCAACAACAAAATGAAGTGTTAGAAAAGGGTTTGAAAGTAGCTTGCATATTCTTAAGCTTTAATATACCTAGAACTCCTGAATCAAGTTTAGCATTAATAGTTTCATTGCATTTTATGATTCAAAACAAATTTTAATTTAATGGAAATATAGGTTGTGTGCTCCGTGAACTCACAATTATAGAAGCTAAAGTGGCAATATCCAGTGTTCATTAAGCTTTGTTGTCTGCAGTTCCTTGTTTTATATGTATATTTATCTTTTGTTTTTTCTGCATTCTTAGCTATTTAGAAAAAGGCAGAAGAGAATATTGAAGGTATTTTAGTGTACTAGTGCGTCTCTGGTTTTAAATTTAAATAATGTTTTTCTTGGTGTTTTGTAACCATACTGTACATACAGTACAGTACAAGTCTTCAAAATCACTTATTCAGCATTTATAAGTAAATAGAATGCAAAGTGGATTTCAAAATATGCTATGTAAACTGTTTACCTGTGATGCATATGCAAATGTCGGTTTTTGCGTAATTTCCAATAGGTGTTTTGAGTATTCTATTAAAAGGTGCTTCTTCAGTGCTTTCATGTGATGTGCAAGCCTTAACTGAGAACTTAATGACTCTCAATCTTAGATTTTTTCTGCAAACTACAAAACAGGTCAAAACTGTGAATGTCAGGGCTTCTAATTTTACCACAAACAGAACCTCTGTTAGTAATAAACAGTGGCTCTTGTTAGGCAATACCTCTGATAAGCTCAGCGTTGGTGATTGGTAGACAGTTTGTGTTTTATTTTAAATGTTAGCTATCCAATTAAGTGTAACGACTACCATTGCACTCTGTACCCCATTCTGCATTTCAGCAGGTCTTTACCTAACATGCTTCTGATTACCATGGAAGGTACTGTTGAATATTTACATATTAGTGTGTGTATAATATATATACTGTATAATGTTCAATTAACCTAACTGATATCCTTGTTTCCTTCACTGCAGCTTATAATAATGTAACCTGGACATCACTTCCAATGCAATGACTAATGTTTTTTACAATATAGAGATATGGGTGAAAATATATTGTGATGATTGATTCATCTTAGTTTAATATGTTTCTTTTTAGTGTGGGCTTCTTCTCTGAGAATGCCTCTGAAATGTTTTTTGAATAGAAGCATGAGCACATTCTATGTGTTTGTCTAGTTTTATTTTTTTGGGTAGAAGTAAATGATCTGCTTGTACACATCGGTGGACCTGTTGTATATTAAACCTCTTTTACTGAGAAAACAAAAACTCTAAACCCTTTTTCATTCTTTGAAAATGTTTTTTTCTTAAATAAAAACATTACAATAGTATCCACAATTGTTTGTCCTCTTTGCTTTTTAAATGCCTCAAATGAGTATACTGTAATCATTTTTCACAAAATTAAAGTGTTTTGTTGGTTACTATTCATTAAATCTTGTAAGAGATACATTTATGCTATCACAAATATTCTAGAACGAGCTGATACATTGTAATGTATTTTATTAGTTATTACTAGTAATAATAGATGAGTATCTTGTATATGTTAGAATCAATGTATATTAGTTATAGTAGAAATACCACCAAACTGATGATAATCAGAGTAATAATCTGATAATACCAAATTCAGAACGTGTCACTTCATCATCTCAAAGTTAAAAATATATTCTAGCATAGTTGGAATGACCACTGGAATATTTTCTCGTATAAACATAGGTCATATGCCAATAGGCCTGTGAGATCAGGGATCACTGGACTCAATGTAATGGAGATTGAGCCATAGTCCATGGTACTATTTTAAATTATTCTGTTCAAGAAAAATGTGCTTTGCGGTAAAAGGCTAACATTTTCAACAATAAATTAAATGAAGTGATAAAAAATAGCTAGGATATTCTTGAGCCCCCAAAAAATAAACAATACTTGTTGTGACAGACATTTAATGTTGGATCATTTTGATTAATAAATGAATGAAAAAGTATATCGTTTTGTGCGTTGTTTGTTTTATTGGGTTCTCTTCATCCATTTTTATGACTTAGATTAAGATCTGATCACATTTGAGGTCAAATTTATGTAATTTATGTAGAATTTCACAAAATTCTAAAGGGTTTGCAAACTTTCCAGCACCACTGTATGTACAGTAATATCCAAAACATGTACCTAATCTTGTTTTTGGATTTATAAAAGCAGTAATTAATATCTAAAAAATCTATTATAAATCTAAAAAATCTAAAATGTTAAAAACTCTCTTTTCTTGAATAACGTTAATGTCAAAATTGAGCAAATACATATTAGGTTCTGACTTAATATTTTATCTTTCTTCGTCCCCATCCTGGCTCATTGTGAGAGAATGGAGATGCATCAATTCAGAAATGTACAATTTTCATTTTTATTAGGTTTCCAAATATGTAGTTACAGAGGCTCCTGAAGCAGTTACAAAATGGATGCATGGATCAGAAGACTCCATACAAGGTTAATGAGGGAAAAAAATGTATTTGCAGAGGAATGCATGTTTTTTACTTTAAATACAAAAACTAGAAAGTAACACTCTGATAAAACATTGCTTCACTAAGTAGTTAAGAAAATAAGGACAGAGAAAGGTTACAATATGAAGAAGACCATTCAGTCTATCACATTTAATCACACTTAATTTATCCAAGGATTCAAGCATCTTATCAACCTGTTTTGGAAAAGTTCAATGGAATTCTCTTTGATCTATATGGATAGGGAGCCTGTTCCCAATTAAAAAAATGTCTATAAAGAAGTGTATCCTATCCTTGCCTTTAATGCACTACAATTTACATTTGTGTTTCTGCGTCCTTGATTCAGTGTTTTGCCTTAAGTAGTCCATTCGATTGACCTTGTTACCTTTCCCTTTGTAATATTAATCGAGATTGTCAGCTCAAATTTCTGAAGCATTCCACTAGCTTCGACAGCATAAAAGATGCAATTTTAGTTTTTAACTGAATCTCCACATTGTCCTAAAATTACAACTATTTATATAATGAATTGTTGGCATTATACCTGAAGTTTTTCAGGATGGCAACGCATGTTCTATTTCGCAATGAAAATGTACCAAATTACTTTCTTTCCTTAATTTCTATCCAAACTACAGCCCCGCAAATATTTTTTTTACAGTTGGGAAAATATGTTGCCAATTTACAACAAAAGAATAAAAACGAATGCTCAATATTTTTTTGCCATAGCTGGGCATCTGTCAGACTGCTCTTCTGAAGGAAATGTCTGCTGTAGATGGGAAAAAATGGCACTCCTTTCAAAGAAGAAAAAAAAAACAAGACAACAAACTCCATTTTGTTCCTAAACCAGTTCCATTTGATCAAATCTGAGCTTCCATCGAGATGTTTTATTTCTTCAATGCTACATGCTTCATTGAGAAAGCTCATGGGAATATATGTCACCCATGTTCTAGAAACTTGAAAGAGTAACTGGCCTATTTTTTCCTTTTGAAGAAGGGGATTCATGTACTATATACTTTATATATAGCATCTGTATAAATAACCATTTGGGTTGCCATCACATCACATTTCTTCCACCTGGTACTTCTTACCTTCTAAATATATACTGTAGTGTTCTATTCCCCCCAGAGAGGATTGATCCAGAGGCCTTTGCCATTTCCCCTCTAAGTTAAACCTTTTCCGCCCTGTAAAAACAGGTAGGGATCCCCTTTTGGTCTCTTTGCCTCCTATCATTTTCAGCAGATACACCTGTCTCTCCCCTCTCTTCCTCAGGCCTTAGCTACCTTCCCCAGTGACGACCATGCCTGCAGTAAGGTAAAGGGCAATGAGGTTATCTTGTTGAGCCTGAAACATTCTCTTCCAGTTTATTACTCCCAACCTCGCCACAATTCAATGGTACTACAAGATCTTTGTAGACAGGCTAAAACATGTGATTAAACACGCCATGATAGTGATGGTAAGGTGTCCGCTTTGGTTTGATTTGCACTGGTTTTCAAATATAAGTTTGTTTTTATTTATTTTTTTTGATCTACAGAATTAGTTTAAAATAAAATCCTCTCAAACAACACTACAGGCTTTTTAGGTGTTAGTAAAAATCACCATAACCAATCTATTCAGATGCTTGTGGTATTCTAGACCACTAAGGCTGTTTTGAAGATGTTTAAGTGTGGAGTTGTGTCAGTGTACATTGGATGCAGAGCCACAAGTAAAGTTCATCCCTCAATGAAGAAGACGAACCTTTGTATTTCTCCTTTCTTTTTTTCAGTGTGGAATTAACCTTTACTTGTTCCTCATAAGTTATTAGCATGTTTAATTTTTTTTACTAAGATAATCAGTAGTTACTTACATTTAGCTCAAAATTGGTATTACTTGGCATTTCTTCTTAAAAAAATACAATACAAAGAAAAGTTAATCAATTAGTTAATTAATGTCAGTTTATTAAATGTATAGATGTTTTTATATTTATGTAGTTCTCCATTAATTTGATGATTTATGTGGAGGTCTACAGGCTCCAAAAGCCATGCTAACACCAAAGTTGTGAAACACAGTGTCCTCAATCTGAAGAATAATTAAAACTAGATGACCCTGTGGTTAACCAGGTGCAGGAGTGAGTATACCAAGGTTAAAATCTAGAACTCACTCCATGTCCTGTTTTACGTTATGCAGCAGAATTGCCAAATTAATGTACATATTAGAAATGAAAATATAAACATTTTTTATCCATAATTATTAAGAAAAAAATGCAAAACTGCATAGGACTGAATTGTGTACAGTGGCTAGAGAGAAGCTGTTGGGGCTTGTAATGAATATTTAGTGACAAGATATTTCAGTTCACTTTTCTGTAGTTTTTTAAAACTTTTTGCAGTTCAATTAAATAGCATCACTTCCGACGTTCTGCACTCTGAATTCTTGGAAGTCCTCGGGGATTGTATCTGAGAAAAGAAGAAGAAAAGAAACAATGTGGGAACACATCCCTTAACCAGAGATATGATAAGACAAGGTACTTCCTGGAAAATAATAAAGAAAGCTGCTTCTTCTTTTTTCTCTTGGTACATGAATAGCAGTCAAAGTCACTGTAGTCAGCAGCAAATTAAAGACAAGGGATACTGGAAAAATAACCATGGCCTTAAGATTTTCACTTCTTTAAGAATGGAGGGAAATTCTGTCAATATTATACAAACGTTCAGTTTGAAAGAATGTGCTATAGGGAATTTTAATTGACTTACCATTGCAGCGATATTTCAGGTTGGACCAAATTATGTTTTCCTGAGAGAAGCAGAACACACCGAGCCGACCACCACGCATTGTGGTGTCAATAGTAACTCCGGAGTCAGCAACCAGCTCCGTACCTTCATAAAACCGGGCTCTGTTGAATTCAGTGACACAGAATAGTTTTAAATAAGAAGTGTTTCTCAGTAATGTTCCTCAGACTGCCACACTCACTATCTAGGCAGTACACTGTAGTACCTACCCACAATTTCACTTTTAGCTAGCTCACTTTTTATGGCATTATACTGGTAAAACACAATGTAAATTGATTCCAAAACCCATCCATCCACGTCAGAGGGAGCCGGAGCCTATCCCAGCAAACAACACAACAGGCACAAGGCAGGATACACTCTGTATGGGACAACAGTCTATCACAGGGCAGTCTGCAGAACCACAGTCACTTAAAATTTGAATTATGATTATGAATCATGAATCATGCTTAAATCACTAGTTAAAAGCAGCAACAGTATTAGTTGGAACTGAAAACAAGTGCTCAAAAGAGATGCGCCCAGTGTTTTGCCAGATGGGGGATTGCCATATGATATTGCTGCCTGACTGGATATTCTTCAGAAGCAATTATGACAACTACAAAAAATTACATCTGCTCAATGTAAAATAAAACATGAAATGGCAAAATACTCAATATAATAAGGTGTGAACCACTACAGAGATCATAAAGTAAATATTTGACAGTGTTTTTTATTCTGATTACTGTTCTCCTAAGATTATATTAAGAATTTAATTTAATTTAATTTAATTTCTGTTGTTGACCCCTGTGCAGTGACCCTATATTGGACTAAGCAGTTTCTGAAAATGGATGGTTGCTGTATTACTGTACTACAGCAAGTCCTGTTAAATACATTTCCAAAGTACTTTATAAAAGAGAAAGAGGACATAATGCTTGTGATTAACTGGGATTAATTTAAATGCAGAGGCCAGCTGAAGAATAGCTCCTGTCTGTACCCCTGAACTCTTTTCTGGAGAAATTTATCATCTGAAATTAAAAAAATAGATGTTGCTGCAGAAAATCATAAAGCCTTTAATTTTTATTTCTAGTTTAACTCAAGTAATATCATTGTTGGATTGGAATTGTGACTGCACATGTGCAGACTAAACCTAATGGCTTACATTTGATGTATGTTTTTCTTGAGCCTCATATTAGATGTACATTATGAACAAAGGTGGAAGGATAACAGCAGCATGAATAACTTAGTGTTTCCTTTCCATATTGTTCATTGATTACTCTGAAAACCCACACTCATTTTGAAACCGATAGACATATTTACTCTCAATAAAATCAACAATGCCTTGCATAGCTTCCTGTTTTTCTTATTATTTTACGTCGGGACTCCTCATGCACATCTTTCAATCGAAATTTTCAGAGAAGCCTAATTTGCGACTAGGATTTCGAGGTATTCCAGGAATGTGAATGCCTTGCTATTTTTCAGGAGAAAGTTTTGGTGAAACAATTTTTCCCCTGTACTTTAAAATGAGTCACTGTGGTGGGTATGAGTATTAAGTGCTGTAACACCACTGTCATCACAAATGTCACAGAGTGATAAAAGTGGGTGTATGGCAATGGCTTGGGGCTATGTTTACATATGCATATATTGGCCAACTGTGGTGCACTTGGGTTCCAGAGGACCAGCATTTGTTTACTGTTCAATATTTTGTTTCCATCCATCCATTTTCTAAATGCTTTTTCCAGTCCGGGGTTGTGGGGAAGCTGGTACCAATCCCAGCAAGCAACGGACAGAAGACAGGGTACACCATGGATGGGACACCAGCCCATTGCAGGGCACACACACAAACACAAACACACACTCACTCCCACCTCGGACAAATGTCCCCAGAAGCCAATTAACCTACATGTATGTTTTTGGATGTTGGGAGGAAAACGGAGCTCCACGCTAACACGGAGAGAGCATACAGTACTGGACAAACTCTATGCAAGTAGCACCCCAGGTTCAGAATTGAACACAGGAATCTGGCTCATGAACCTGGCTTCACTGTAGCTGTCCTAGGCTAGAGAGTGACATGTGCAGGAGGCCTGTAGCTACAGTAAACCTCTGAGTGTGCTGTGCTAATAAAACAAGCAGATAGCACTCTAGGTGCCAAACACCTTGCATTTTAAAAACTGTTTTTAAACAAAAGTGAGTTTTCCACACCTGATATATCCAACCTGGGGTCTGTGTTGGAGGTACCAGCGATATGAGACTTTGTCCTTCCATCCCACATTCCTGGGGTCTTTCCACAGGAGTCTGACCTGATCATTAGTGTCTCCTGTGTGCCAGAGTGAATTCCTTAAATGCTCTCCAGGACCTGTCTTGGACTTCACAGCCTGATATGGGACAGTTAAAACATAAGGTAAATGGTAATATAAAGGACATGCTTTATTATATAAGAAGTTTAATTAAAATGTAAAAAGACAATATTAGTGAAAAAAATTCAAAGCACATCTACCAATAATATCGTTATGCCCTATGATAATGTCTAAATCAAAAATGGGGAGCTGAGTGTGTACCGTAGGTGACACCAACAACACACTAGTGTAACTGTGAAGTGGCACATTTTGTTTGCTGAAAATAAATTAATCCTTTTCATAATCTTCCTTCTTAAGGACATCCTCCATTAGTCTCTTGTGTGATTCGGTTTAAAAGGCAAACCTCACAAGTGCTGTATAAGGGAGTAAGAGTATTGCTGCGTATTACCCTGTGTGACAAGGTAATTGCAAAAAAAAGCCATAGTTTCACCTAAAGTCAACAAAGGGCCTTAAAGGCTTGTCTAAAAAAAAATAGCAAGGAATCCCCACATGAGGAATGAGGAAAATAAATGTTGGAATTCCAGTAAAATGCAGGAGTCCTGGATCTGGGTCACCAGTATAAAAGTCTGGCACTCAGTAAGGAGTGTTGGTCTGCATTCAGACTCAGACGTTAGGCGTGGCTGGCAACTTATTGCTTTTGCAATAAGAGAACTTAAAGTATCTTAAAAGAGCATTATGGAAATTAAAATGTTATCCTCTAGAGATTATGAGAATCAGCTATCTAATATGGTTCCAGGATTATTTCCTCAGAAGTACGCAAGACCACCTTCATAGAAAAAAAATGATCTACAAGCCAAAAAGACAAACCTGGCTCACCTGCTAATCAGAAAGAGTAACTTTTCCAGATCTGCAACCGATTAGTATCCACTTAACAATTTGGAAAACAGGGTGAGCTTCATTCTTAAGAGCCTCTAGGCTCAAGTAAGAAATTTACTTATCCCTGATGACTTATAGGAATTAATCATGCTCTTACCTTCAGCTGAATGCCAGGTTCAGCCACAGCTCTAAAAGGGGTTGCCTGCCAATAGGTCTGTTCTGTTTGTTTCCACATGACCACATAAAAGCTCGAGCTGTCTTGGTAGCCAAAGATAAAACCAGCGTAGTCATCATCTGTCACAGTATTGACATGGAAAGTGCCTTCAAAGTCAACTCCATTGAATGCAGTGTAACCTAGAGAAAACAAGATCAGTGGAATAAAACAAAGACGCCAACAGACACTTCATCTTCCCGTTGCGGTGAAGATGTTTGTCCAGAACAAAAAGCTTTATAGTATTAGACTTAAAGAGACGAAGGACTTAATGCTCCACGTTTTTAATTTTCGTGACAGTTGTTTAAGACAACCAATTTTATAAGACACACACATATATATTGCACATGTATAATATCAACCTTTAATTATTCAATAATTATATACCATCACAAAGAGCATTTTTTAACTGAACTGATTTTCAGAAAATGGTACTTTATTGTATCTCTTACCAACTGCAAGTCCAGGGTCACTGTTCATGGTCTGCACTATCTCCATACCCTGAAATACATTAACAAAATATAATACAAGCATCGCAGATATTCATCTACAGTGCCATCAAAAACATATTGGGACAGTGAATCTAAAGTTTTTTCACTGTGAGTTCTAATAATATTAAGCATTTCTTATAAAATGATTAATAAGTACAGCTAATAAGTCCTTTCTTTTTAATAAAGTCAATTAATTTCCACCCCTTTGGGTCAATTAAACACACTAATAATGCTAAATAAGCCAAAGAATTGGGATAACTGGCTGACAGGAATCTCTTGCTCTTGTTGATATTGTTAATTTGTCTTGCTTTGATGTCAGTGATTGGAGTCTGTAGTCAAAAGTAAGAATGAAAAGCAAAGTACATCCTGTTAAAGAAAAACTGGGAATTTTGAAGATAATAAAGATAATAAACAAACCAGCACCCCTAACAGAAATTAATTGCCAAATACTGTATATTTGTTATACAATAATGAAGAATTAAATTAATAATTAGGAATATAATGAAGCAAGAAACTACTGGCATAATTATCAATCAAACAAGATGAGGCTTGTTAAAAAGAAAAAGTTGATAACAAAACAATTGTCAGAGATTCTAAGTAAAAACCCTTTACTTCTCAGTGAAATCACCCAACTTCCGGAATACAAGGCTTCAGGTATCAAAATCCACAGTGCCAAAGGCGGAGACAGTAGAATTACAGTGTCTACACTGGAAGCTGTGCACCGAGCACAAAAAAAGAGATGTAAATTTGCTCAGAAGATCAAAGAAGAGCTAGAAGAGTACTGGAACAAAATTAAAAAGACAAAGCCAACATAAACCTAGCCTAAAAGTGATAAAAGGTTAAAGTGTGGAGAAACAACCCTGCTCATCTGTGAAGCATGATGGAGGTAATATCATGGTCTGGGCATGCATGGCTGCATCTGGAACTGGCTCACTTGTCTCTGTTGATGATGTAACTAATGATGGCAGCAGAATGAATTATGAAGTTTATAGAAACATTTTTTTCTGCTTATGTAGTATAAAGCGCTTCACCATGCCAAAGCAAAACATATGGCCAATGCATCTGAAGAGTTCATCAAGAGTGCAAAATCTAGCCAAATCAATGTGTAACCATCTTACAAACTGAAGACAAATTCAAAGTTAGAACACCCCAGCAACTGGCAAAAACTCATAATTGGTGTAGACAGGTATGTTAAATGATTACACAATATATTTTGTGAGCTCAATGGATCACAAGCGTAATGCGGTTATTGCCTCAAAGAGATATGCAACTAAGTATGACTTTTACTCTCTGAAACATACTGAAAGTGAATATGTCCCAATATTTGTGATCACTTGAAATCACTGGGTTAAACCCTAAGTATGTTTTTGTTCTAATATGATCAAATGATTTTTTATAGTAATTCCATGCATACTGTATCATTCATGTTGACAACAAAACTGATAGGTTTTGACTTGTCCAATGCTTTTGGAGAGTACTAAATCCTAGATAACATGCTTTCCAGATGAGGAAAAATTAAGTGTGGTTGGTTAATTATACTTGTATTCTTAAAAAAATAATATCATATTGTCTTGCGGTCACATTGAGGCTCATTATTTCAAGATCATTATGAGGAATATAAACAGCCCATGATCAGTAATGTTATATACCTGATTGAGAACAACCCAGTTAGGATCAATCTGAGCATCTCCCTCAGGGTCCAGAACGACAGTCTGGTAGGCTCTGAAATCAGTGAGAGTGACCTCGGCATTCTCTGGGCAGATATCAATTCTGTCAATCACTGTGTCCAGATCGAAGTCACTTTCACAGATATCTCCAACTCCATCAGCTGTCAGGAGGAGTTCAGGAACATAAATGAAACGTGAGTTATAGACTTTAGGTAAAATGTTTTGAAGATTTAATTATATTTAGATATAGATGTATCTAAAACACTATCAGGCAATAATTTCAATGTGAAAAAATGTAATATTGTTTTTTCCAATTTAAGGGGAAACTCTAAACAAAAATGCCATACAAAACCCTAACCTTGCATTTCAACTAACAGAAAAGCTGAATAAAAAAGGACAAGTCTTTTACAGACGCATGTATTTCAATTTCTAGTTTCTTGAGCAAGACAGGCTCTATTTTTCTACATTAATTCTAAAAACATTACTGAGCTGTAACACACCCTCCAAAGTTAAGCATCATTTCAATTTAAAATAAGAAAATATCTTATAAAACTTTCTTTGAATTTTAATTAAAACATAATTTGCTTTATTTGAACATTGACTTGTCCAATGTAATGCATCTTTAACAATGTCATAAAATGTCATGACTGAGGTACTTAAATGTAATATTGGAAGATTATATTTCTAAATCATTTAATAGTCTGGTCAGACTATTACATTTCTATTTGTTAATGAAGACTGCATTGTTGACTTTATAAGAACAATATGATTAACAAGTAGCCCTTATTTAGGCATGAATAATCTTTACATCAGAGAGGAATACGCAAAATACTGATAATATTTTTAACATCCAATTAGCTGGTTATACAGTTTTTGTAGTAATACGTTTTATCTTACATTGCTTCATCCTGTGTTTCTAAATTGTTCTGAGTTTGTTACTTACAAGCATTGTCTTAAAGATGATGTTGAAATGAATGTGCACAACATAATTTGAAGGCAATCTCAGTTAGAAAGGGACAAGTACACTAGCCATCACCCCATTGCCAAATATGATAAAGAATTGCTGTTGCAGAATAAAAATTGTTTGATTGAATTAGACCTAGGTTCTATTCTGTTAGGAACATTATTTTGTGCAATATAGAGCATAAAGGAAATGTAATTGGAAGTTATAATCTTTTATCCTGCTGTGAAAGGCAAATGTAAGACCAGTACATACCATTATCATCCACCTGGTCCGGGTTGGGTACCAGCCTGCAATTATCAGGTCCCGGTGGAAGAAGGTCTGGAATACCATCATTGTCATCGTCATCATCACACTCATCTCCAAGGCCATCCTTGTCACTGTCCAGCTGTGAGCTGTTAATGACGTTGGGACAATTGTCCTTGCTGTCCTGGTGGCCATCTCCATCACTGTGTCAGGTAAAGAATGAAGAGCTATTAAATCTCACAACCACTCATTCACACTCCAGTGCTGTGTAGGTTAGACCCCTTATATCTTACTGTGCCATTAACTGTGCCATTCAAGTTCTACAGACTTTTGTATTCCTATTGCTCCCTTAACAATTCTGTTCTGCATTAGCAAGGCTTTTTTAACCATGAACTGAAATCTTTATTTAGTCAAATGATTATTTCATTCTTTTATACACACTTTTTGGCATTCAGTTTTTTTTTTAGTGATTTGACTGCTTGCCAAATTGCTCAATTTCCAAGGACTAACTCCACTAACCTAGAGTTAGCTATGGTTTCTTATGCCACACACCTGGAAATGCACAGATGACTTCAGTGAGAAACATACTGTTCCACTACGTGGTGTGTGTCAAATGATAAAAAGCCCTAACAGGTTGTCACAGTAAAATGTATATACTGGTCCTCATCACCTGCAAGTTGTACTGTTGTACTGAGTTTTACCAGGAAGCCACATTGATTAATATTTTATAAATTTTGGAATTGTCAATTATTTTTTATTATATATCATTAAAGTTTGGAATTCCCTGTTATCCCTGTATATCTTGGCTCCCAGATTTTAAGATTGAAAAACAGTCCTCTCCAATCTATCCATCCATTGAGTCATTCATTCTACAAGGATTTATGCATTGAAGCCTACAATGAATAATAAAGCATGGCAAACCTGTCTTGGTTTGTGTCACAGGAGTCTCCAACAAGATCATTATCAATATCAGACTAGAAAAGAAGATACATTTAAGTTAAAAAACACACATACACAAATTCAGCTTTCCACATCTCATTGCGTAAAACATGTCTCTGTAATGAATGGTCAAAAGACATTATAGAACAGTGAATTCCCTACCACGGTCCTGGAGGAACACTGTCTCTGCTGCTTTTCATTCTAGTGATAATCCATTACTTAATTGATCTGCTTAGACTTTAATTTGGTAATCAAATAAAAACCATCCGCCTACTTCAAGGGGATGGTTTCTATAAAGTTCAGAAAACAGAAATTTCATAGATGGGGATTAATAGGAGGCCATGATTGGTAAAGGCCAGGGTAAAATTTGGCCAGGACACTGGGGTTACACCCCTACTCTTTGAGAAGTGCTCTGGGATTTTTAATGACCATAGAGAGTCAGGACTTCGGTTCTCAGCTGAAGGACAGCTCCAATTTATAGTATAGTGTCCTAAGTCCTAATCATTATACTGGGTTATTAGGACCCACACAAATTGTAGGGTAAGCACCCCCTACTGGTCCCACTAACACCTCTTCAAGCAGCAAACCTAACCCTAGCTTTCCCAGGAGATCTCACATCCAGCCACTGGCTAAGCTCGCACCTCCTGCGCTTTAGCGTGTTGCCAATTGTAAGTTGCATTGTGATATAGCTCCTGGCAAGAAAAGGGAGTCGATCTGGTCCATAATGGGAATACAGATGCACATACTCACACCAGAGCCACATTGCCCAGAAGCCAATTAAGCTACCAATATGTTTTGGGGCAGTCGGAGAAATCTGGAGCACCACGTGAACACAGGAAGAACATACAGTACAAACTCCATGCAGATAACACCCAAGGTCTGGTCCATGAACCTGGCTTCACTGTAGCTGTCCTAGGCTAGAGACTGCCATGCACTGAGGTCTGTAGCTCAACCTCTGAGTGAGCTATCCTAATAAAGCACACTAGTTTGACCGAAGTGTGGAGAAAAAACCCTGCTCATCTGTGAAGCATGATGGAGGTAATTGATTAAAAATCAATCAAAAATAGATTAAATACATTTTAGTAAAGTGAAAAGACTCAAAGGAAATACAGCATGTATGATTTGTTTAATTTTTAGGTTGAGCACTTGACCACGACGTTATTTAACATTTTGGGGATCTCATTATACGACATATTTAAAAGGAACCTATCTGTGGGGATTTTTGAATAAGTTCACAAAAAAATGACCTGATTGGGGTTGCCAATATCCGGACAGCTGTCACAAACATCTCCCACTCCGTCATTGTCTCTGTCCTTCTGGTCCACATTGGGTACTCTCTGACAGTTGTCCAGAAAATTTTTAATACCTAAAAAACAATGTATTTTAATGTTAGAACTGTCCAACCTTGATTATATTTCAAAGGGATGTTTTAAGGAGAAAATATGCATATAAACAAGCACTCTTGATTCAAAGCAACATGTAAATTGTTTGTTCATAATTTTAGAAAAATCTCCCTAAATGAATCTTTAATTTGAAATTGCCAAATCATTTTCATTTCACAACTTATAATGGATTACTATTTAAAAGTAACTTTTCCCAACACTGCCGAGGAAGTATGAAAAATATCATAAAGTACACCACAGCAATAGCCAAAAATATTGTTTTGTTGCCATTGTAACTTATTAAACGTTGTTTAGGAATACTGCATACAGTACCTCTCTTGGTTTTCGTCACAGGATTATCACAGGATTATCTGAAAAGATTGTGTATTTAATAAGCTAATCTCGTAAAAGAAGTGCAGAGGTACTCAATTTCTAAAATTGCTACATCTGAAATAGAAATCAGAAGTCCCTTGAGGAGAGGGGGTGAAACTATAGAAAAGTCAAGTATTACCATAAGGATAGGATTGCAGGACCTTAAACGTCAGAAAGTGAAAAAGGTCTACAATTATATACTATAATATGTAAAAGTAAAGCAGGATAACAATATGTCATCCTAACATCCTAGCTGAATTATCAAGGGTTCTGGTGTGTCATTGGAAGAAGGGAAATCAAACTTTGACGTCAGGGGTCTCTGGAGGGTTGTAAATTACAAACCTTTCCCGTAAAGTTACAGTATATTGACATTCCCCATTACAAATTGGCTATTGATAACACAAGAGGGCACTGTTGATTCGAAATATCCACTGAAGCTGCTGATACAGAGGGAAACATACAGTACTATACAGTATGTTGCAATTATTATAGAGACAGTGGGCCACTTGTTTCTAATTCACTTACTATGGAGTAAGTGGATGGCTCACATGGAAAATATGTACCTTTATTAATTTACCTAAGCAGTACCTCTGAAGTTGTGCACAAGCAAATAATTCACAAATGTATGTATATTATAGTGCTGGCAAACATAGTCTATTTAGCTAAAAATTTAAACTTTCTACTTCTCTAAAAATCTTTTCAGGTGTCATTTTAAGAAAAATATGATCTTAGTAGATTCTGTGTTATATGTATATATGTTTATCTGCATTGTATGCATATTGTGTCGGCTAAATCTTAATGTACAGCTTTGCTTCTGAAAGCAAAATACTGTCTTACAAACACACCTCTGTATTTGGAAGAGTTTTGAATTAGTATGTCTTTAATGAAAATGGTTGTTTTTTAATGTTGTTGTAGTTAATGTGGTAAACTACAAAGATTCAAGCCAAAAATTACAAGGTTATGCAAGCTGAGGTCAAACCAGGAACAGTTTAAAAAAAAAAATTGGAAACCATTGACACATCTGATCCTCTCACCCCCCAGGGCAGGAAAAATGTTTGCCATATGTCTCTGGAATATTGTATTCTGGAATAATGAATGTTTAGAAAAGGCATGTGTAATTTTCAAAAAATGAGCTCTCTTCTTTACCAGAGTAAATCTCACAATAAGATGTGCAATATTTGAATTGTAATAACCCTGCCTTTGAATAGATACATGCCAAATATCTATTAGGGTAGACATTTAATAGGATGAAGATAAGAAAACAGAGAACTCTGAAAACAGATTATTTAAACCACACTATTTGACATTAGCTGCTGTAGATCATTGATATTGTATATCACGTAAACAGTGCTGTTTCATTATTTCAATACTTATTTCACAAAATTTCAAGAATCCCAGATTACTTCCTGCAGGTGAACTTCCACACTAATCAATCACAGGTGCAAAGAGTAATTTCCTATATTATCAATATATTTATTCAGTAAATTCCTTGAGTGACCCTCAGAGTACAGTGTCATTCTCTTTTAATGATTATAGTACTACGTGGTAAATAATTGTAATAAGATCTAATATTAAGTTAATATTAACAAAATGACAGTTCATTACACTTATACCTTAAAAGAACACATTACAAAATTTGTACCAAAACTCTAAGAATCAAAAAACATTTTGGGTAGCACTTTAAATTGTTTATAGTGCTTCGTGTGATGTGATGCTAAAACTAATGTCATGAGCTCTTATGCACACATTATGTCATTTGCGCATGTCTCATAAAGCATGATGGATGTGATTATAATGTTTTGTGTAGCAGAAGAGTTTATGAAGGGTTTATGAAGCCATTATGCAGCAAATTCCAATCACGTATTACTGCATTTTTCCTCTTTTCCTCATGGTTCTGTGGACTTTAAAGGAGTGGGCTAGACACAGTGACAGCCAAAGAGACATACCGTCACCATCCATGTCATCATCACAGGCATCTCCCTTCCCATCACTGTCAGTGTCCCTCTGATCGGGGTTCTCTACTGTCCTGCAGTTGTCACAGGCATCCCCAAATCCATCTCTGTCATTGTTCTTCTGGTTCACGTTGGGTGTCAGAACACAGTTATCCTGGAAAAGAAGTGACCCTCTTTATGAAGTCCTGCACAGTTCCATAGTCAAAGGTGTAGCCGGTTTTCCCATTTTTTCTTATTCTTGCTCACATAGGCTTTAAAAAAAAGGGTTGAAAAAATAAATGTCAAGAAAATACTTTTTAGTTTTCTAATAATGCCAATAACACTTCTCTGTGATATACAGTATAATTGGTACATACAGTACCAATCAAAAGTTTGAGTACACCTCCTTGAAACCAGGTTTTTCATTATCATCTGTCCTTTAAACTGTATAAAATTGTCTATAAACACTTAATATTTAATTACATGATATGTGTACTTACAACTAAGGTTGCTGCTGGAAGAGGTGTTAGTGGGGCCAGCAGGGGGCGCTCACCCTGTGGTCCATGTGGGTCCTAATGCCCCAGTATAGTGACGGGGACACTATACTGTAAACAGGTGCCGTCCTTCGGATGAGACGTAAAACCGAGGTCCTGACTCTCTGCGGTCATTAAAAATCCCAGAGCGCCTCTCGAAAAGAGTAGGGGTGTTTTTCCATTGGCCCTTACCAATCATGGCCTCCTTATAATCCCTATCTATGAATTGGCTTCATTACTCTGCTCTCCTCCCCACTAACAGCTGATGTGTGGTGAGCGTTCTGGCACACTATGGCTGCCGTCACATCATCCAGGTGGATGCTGCACATTGGTGGTGGTGGAGGGGAGTCCCCATGACCTGTAAAGCGCTTTGAGTGGAGTGTCCAGAAAAGCGCTATATAAGTGTAAGCAATTATTATTATTATTATTATTATTATTATTATTATTATAATCTTAAGTGAACTGCATTGAAAACGTTCATTTTTCATTTTCAATAAAATGAACACCCAAAGCAAGCAGATTTCAGTCTGTAGCCCAGGTTAGTTAAAAGTCAGAAATGTGTATAACATGGTGTTAGAACACTAAAAGAAGTTTAAAATTGTCTTTGTTAGATGTTCTCACAGTTAACTAGCATGTTACCTCATTTACCTTTTGTCACCCATTACTGGTAAATAGTTGAGGGTCTACCATTACTGTAAATATAGGGGGCATAGGCAAAAGTATGTAATTCCTGAATGAACATGGCAAAAAATGTATTTTCTACTCCAGAATAAAAAGAACTTTATTCATCAAATATTTTTCTCACAATCAAAGCAAAATAATATACGTAACACCTTAGTCTTGACACGTTCTATTGTGATCTTATTAGATCTCAGAAGTTAAGCAAGGGTAGGGCTGGTCATTATGGGATTATGAAGACTCTAAAGACCACTAGGCTGTTGTTGTAGGTGGTGCTGGTGGATCAATAAGTGGCACCATTACCTGTAGGCCAGAATTTCCTAACCATTGTCATAGTATGGTGACTGGAGACACTGTGTTATAGAAGGTGTTATTCTTTGGATCAGACATTAAACAGTTCTGAGTGCTTGCTCATTATAGATTCAATGATGCTTTTTAGAATAGTATGAGTGTTAATCCCAGAATCTTGCCACCCTCTAGTATGTTTTAGGAATGAAAATTGCTACACATGTAATCAATTTATTAATAATTGGCATTCATTATCCTTGTACACTAATATTTGTAAGGGTGACAACCTACAGTAGATCCTGTCCCAGAAGCACAGGTCACAATGTGGGACAAGTCTGTTCTCTACTGAACAAGATACCAATCCATCTCAGGACCAAACAGGAACAATTTAGAATACAACTTTGGAAAATGGGAGGAAAACAGAGCACTTACTGTAGCAACAGGTCACACAAAGTAAAGCCTAAAGCATATATAAAACCCTGACCCTGATATGGAGAGTGTCAATTACTACATACTGAAACAAGAAGGCAGACATACTGAAACAAGAAGGCAGACATCCTGAATGGCTGACCAGCAGTACAGTGAAAATGCCTAGAAACAAGTTTTCCCTTTTTCCCATTAGAGTCTGCCATTGCTTCAACACGGATTTACTTTAATTGGATAGGTTGACAGACAGACATTATCATCCTACAGTCTTGCCAGATATACAGTCTTGTATGCAAGTCAGATATAAGAAATATAACTTGCTAAAACATACTACAAAGTAAATCAGCTACTAAGAATATAGAAACATTAAAAACATTAAAAAAACATCCACAGATGTTAAATATATCTCAAAGTGTCAACTTTAATTACAGTGTTATTTAAAGTTTTTATCCTTAGCCTTGATGTAATTCCAAATTACACAATTATCAATGTGCATTCAGAACATGGTAATCACTACAAAGCATGAAAGCATCTGCCAGATGCATGAACATGCCCTGTTGTTGAATTTCTATACCTGGTTGCAAAATGAAGATTTTATCAGTTTATGATGCAGCTTTAGGGACTGCAGGCTGAACAGTGCGTACCTGCTCATTGGGAATGCCATCCCCATCTGCATCGTCATCACATGCGTCACCATACCCATCTCTGTCAGCGTCTTCTTGTCCAGAGTTGGGGACGTACACACAGTTGTCCTTCAGTAAGATAATGAAAAACACATCTGTAAGCCCAGTCTTTGATATTATCGAGTAAGGTTCTGCTTTTGGTTTTGCCACTACTGAAAATGATCAAAGGAATAAGAGGAGTTACAGTAGGTGAATATTACTTTTCGGCAGCTACTGTCTTTGCACTTGAGTTCTTCGTCTGGGTAGCCGTCGATGTCAGTGTCCTTTCCACACAAATACCCATTGCCAGCCCAGCCAATGCCACACTGCAGCAAGAAATAAATGAAAGAATGAACTTGCACTGGGAAATCTGTCGACAGCAAAATGGTACAGTAGGTGGTGGCTCTTTGAACACAAATCCTTGTTTATCCTAATGACAATGAATGGCAGGTGGAGGTCATTTAAGGGGCATCTCAATGTTTCTGCTTCTTCGTGGCATATGTGCCCCTAACTATTATACTTTAGTTGTCAATATTATTTTAAAGAACAAATACTACAATTAACATTTATTTAATAATAATTAATAACTGCTTACACTTATACTGCATATGGCTTTTCTGGATAAAATTCTGGATTTTTGGGGTTATATTTTCTGGATATATAATTTCTGGATATACACTGTATAGTATATTTAAAATATACTGCAGCTGGCTAGTTTCAAGAAGCAGGTTGCTGAACATAAGTTTTTTAAAATAATATTTATATCTCAAACAGCAGCATCATTTTCTTCCTGATTACAAACAGTGTTTTATCAAGCAGAAAAATCTAACATTTCAATACCCGCTGCGCTCTGTCAATATATTGGACAATAAATTGTTGGGAGTTTTAATGGATCTGACACTGTGCCAGATATCTACAGTAGATACCCATGAGAGCAAAGTAATAAAATATACCAGAACCAGTCAAGCTTTACCCCTAAATTAAGCATAAAATATGAGCACAAGTTACTTGTTTTAAGTCTGTCTCCCTTAGAATGTCCACCTTTCCTGGAAAAAAAACTTCAACCTACAGTATGTATTGCTCCATCAATTTCAGGTTCAGGGGTTAGACCTTATCATAATATCTTCTTATCTTACCACACAGCTTATGTCTCCATCTCTTTCCACAACGCACTGCGCATTTACGTTGCAGGGGTTCAACAGGCTGTTACCACAGCTTCTTTCAGGACGGCAGCCTCTCACTTGATCGCCAACAAAACCAGCTTTACATCCCTCACAACGGAATGAACCCTGCAGATTCAAATCGTCACACAGATGCATAACAGGATTTCTATTTGTCTTTGTTTTATTCAAATTTTAACAAATCAAACAAACAAGTCCTTATTGTTGTATTGATTTGATACACCTGTTTCTCTGCACAGTAATATTTTTCTGCTGTCGTATTTTCAATTCTACAAAGAGCAGTACATTTATTTTATTTTAGGTTTGGCATTTGCGTGCTTGTTTTTATGACAATTTTGCAGTTGTTAATTTACCTGTTTACTTTTTCACAGACATCCTTGAAATATGTGTACTTCTTTTCTGGCATTCTCGATTCACATCCTATTTTCACATTTAAATTACAGAACTGAATCTGCTGTCATGAGTTGCTAACCTGCCACTGATTCACTGAATTGTTTTTTCAGCCATGTGAACTGACAAGTGAATGCTTACCAAGGTGTTCGAGCAGATAGAGTTTGGTGCACAGCCTCCATTATTGGGTCCCTTGCACTCATCCACATCACTGCATGACTATAGTCAGAATGAGAAAAATATCTACAGTGAGTTCTCAAGCTTCGTTATTAAGACGTGTTAATAGTGGAATCATACTTAAAACATTGGGCTGAGTTTCTTTGTTGACTTATACATCACACAAAAGTTCAGTTTATCTAAACACTAGCAACACCGTGAAAGGGTCTTCTAAATAGATAAGCAGACAGAAAGCTGTACCATTTCTTGAAAAAAAACAAATTATGCATTCTCTTTTGAAGTCTTCACAAATGTGTTCAATTTCAGTGTTTTAAACAGTTATGTTTACATTTCCCCAGCACATCCTCAGTTAAAAGTATATTGTGCTGGGATTATTAACAAAACTCAAAGATGTTTACTTTTCTGGCAAATGGAATTAAAATAACATAACGTTCCAAAATTAGAGGTACAGTAGCCTCATTCTTCACCTGCTAGGACCACACCATACAGTGAAACCTTATTTATTTTACTACTGGTATACCTGCTTGTGCGTTTTGGCATAGCTCACTCCCACTCCCTGGATTACTTGGCCTGTGTACCCCAGAGGACAGGCCTCACACCTGAAGCCTGGGGCCATGTTGATGCATCGAACTCCAGGAAAGCAGGGGTTGAACTGACACTGTGCGCAAACAACAGAACAAAGTTCTGTTACAGACATCAAGAAAAAGAGAACTATCATCGGTGAGCTTGAAATCGGTGACATGCCTTTAAAGTGAAATGAGGCTTCATACAAAGTCACAATTAAATCAGAAATGCAACAGATTACAATGTAGAACGTGTACTACATTACTTCATTTGCTGTTGCATTATAACCATATAGTATCTATTTCTGTATGTTACAGAGAAATACACATAGTCTCTTTCTAGTTAAAATCCTTTTATCTGTGTTTATTAAAATGTGCTCATGTAATAATGCTTTTTTGAAAGAAGACTGTAATGTAACTAAAAAATGTAGGATCACCAGTTATTTCCTGAATTATACCCACCCAATTTGGATTTATCCAGTGTTAATCTTAGCATAAGTCTTTATCCCCTGTACCACAGGAGGAAAATAAGATACATGTCTACTCCAACATGACTGCTTGCGACAGCCACTCATTGTTTATCAAAAGATTATAGAAGAATGATCATTGGCTGGAAGAACTGGCACCTCCTGGCAGATCCCCAGAGTTCCTGTTAGATTTGCAAACTGATGAAGCCCCAGCAGCACTGAACACATCATGTGCTGACAATTGGGGAATCTTTACTGAATCTCAGTAAACTAATAAAAGTAATGAGGTTCGAACCCGAAAAGCCTGACCTATAGGCTTCCATCAGCACAGCAAGTGGGTGTCCTTACTGGCCGAGTCACTCAGGCACACTCTGCAATGTAATTTCTCATAAGGTGGTTTTTGACTACCTTATATGAATAAAATGGAATCTTTCATTACATTGTCTGCAATCAAAGTCAGAATTTAATCAACAGCAATTTAAAAAATGGATTTGCTTAGAGAAGGGTCATTTTTCACATAATGCCAATCATACATTAGTTCTTACCAATAAATACAGTTCCAATATGCCACTGTCAAATAAGTCAAATAATGTGCATTGTGTGCATACTACAGGTCTGTGTACATGTTAAATGCTGGATATTTTCAAATTTCCTAATAAAATTCTTAATATGAAAAATACAATGAAATACGGCCTATTTAATTAAAAAGATTAACTTTACACATAACCCTGGCAAATGCCAGATGGGCATGCTTTGCTGTTTGCTTCAATGTAAATGTCTCCTGCTGCATTTATTTAAAGTTGTACAACTCAGTAATCCTCGGCAACCTGTCATTCAGGAAGCTCATGAGTGCAACTATTTACTAGCTGGAGAAGAATCAATAAGCATTACCTCATCCACATCATCGCAGTTATACCCATCTCCAGTATATCCATCAGGACATCGGTCACACACGAAACCAGTTTCTGTCTCCATGCACATGTCCTCTCGGAAACAAGAGCTGGGGGTACAGCGTGGCTTGGGTGTGATGGGGATGGGATTTCTCCCATCCTTGTCTCCATCGCCATCTCCATCGCCATCTCCATCCCCATCCCCATCCCCATCTCCATCCCCATCTCCATCTGGTTCTATTCCAGTCCCACCCAAACCTAGCATAAAGTAAGAAGAAATTAGTTTCAGACCTTCTAGAAAATTTCATAACTGTATCTACATACTGTATATATCATGCTTCTAGTATTGAAATGGAAGACTGAGTACTTTAATTAAAGCCTTGACACAAAACTGAAAGATCCAGATGATTATGGGGTATTAATTATTAAGAAATGTTCATTCATATTTTCAATGGTACCAGATCGTTTAATTAACAATAAAAATGGATCAAATGGATTTGAATTGGAGTCAAAAAGAATATTGATTTTGCATGCAGAAATCTATCAGTTTGCATATGCTTATCTGAATGGCACCAACTCCATAAGCATTTGCTATTCCAGCTTTTTTTATTTTGTGTTGCACTCCTTGCAATTCCTGGTAGACAATTTGCAGTTGTGTTTCACATTTGCCTAAAGAGGAGACTGCATGCCACATACTATGCAGGTTAAGTAAAGTTAAATGCCAAAAACTCTCACTGGTCAAAACACTGTAGTACAGTAGACTTGTCCAGTGATTAACATTGTAGGTTGATGATATTTTTTGATATTCTTACACAAGGGTTTATTTGCAAATAAGCCCTATCGAATTCTTAGAAGGATCAACTTTGGTTGAGCTTGTAATGAAGGACATGTGTTTGGGATGAAAATACATATTCTTTACCAGTTCCACTTCTCAAAAAGGTGTCCCGGCAAGGGAAGGCAAAGCAAGTCTTTCTCACATGGCTTAAACCAGCAGTTCACTACCCACCACCATGAGAACCAATTAATTTGACCTGTGGCACATTTTTTAACGACTGAGTGTTTATTGGCATAGATTGTCTTTAAATGAGAATTATAATGGTGGTTAAGTGGCTGTTTGCCCTATAAGTTTTCTGCAGTTGGAGCTCCTTTCTCTTGGTAATTCCACTGCAGAATTTCAATGAATTCAGCTGCATACATGTATAGCAGCTATGACAAGACTTTTGAAATTGATGACAGTTCTAATAGCTGGGCAGCTGTGCTGTAAATCTTAAGAACAAAAGATCTCAACATGTCTTACGACAGGCTTGGCATTCCGATATAGTGTTTCTCAGGAAAGATGTTTCTTTGACCTGCGAAAACATTTTTGACAAAAAATAACATTTTAACAAAACTTGCATGTTAGAGTTTCATATAAGGTGAACTATGTAGTAATGAATCAAATTACAAAGTCAGCACCTGTTGCTTCAGGACTTCTTTCAGCTCTTCAATCACTTTGGTTAGTTGACCCATCTGATTTGACAGTTGTCTTCCGCTGATGCCTAAGTTAAAAAAAAATCTATTAATCTGCCTCATTTACAATACAGGAAGGAAGGAAGTTAACGTTATAATAGTTATATATAGTTGAAAAACATACCAGAATTCTGCGCAGAGTCACTCTGTTGTAGAGAACAGTCTTGTGTTGCCACTACATTTTCAAGTGAATCATCAACCACAACTTTCAGATCTTCAAGGATTTCCTACCAGGTCAAAAGCAAATTCAAGAACCTTTGAATTGATTGATTTAAAAAAAAATCAAAGTTGCAGTTCTTTATGTTCGCTGAAGTCTTCTAGTAAAGACCTAGTTGGCATCTACAAATGCTAAATATCAGAATAACAGTTTCAAAAGTATAGATATGTAAATAGAAATCATCTTCTTTTTCTTTACCTTGGATTGTTTTACAGATCTATTGCTGTAAAACAACTTTGTTGTTTTTTTTTCTGTGTTTAAGTAGGTGTTTCCTTAATGTCTTTGTATTGGAGCATACATGCAAATAAGCCTTTCATTTCACTTGTACAAGGAAATTTAACTAACCATAATTAAACACACAGACAATATTAATACAAGCTAAATCTTCAAAATGTATTTAAATGGTGCAGAAATCCACATGCCTCCTCACATACACACCTGTGGTTTTCCTTTAAGTGTCCTGAGCTCTACCAGACCAGAATCTGTTGGCAGTCCTTTGAATGCTGCAGGTAGATTTCTGACAGTTTCTATTTGCTTGCAGTCAACATAGAGTTCCACTGTGATGGACCTTTGCTGTAAGTCACTTAAATGGAAAAGTATTGCATGCTGTTTGCCATCCGCCAGCTGGACATTGTTGAAGGTGACGATGTTTAACTTTCCATCATTTTTCAGATACCTAAGAATCGCTGATGAGGGTAAATAAATTGAACATTAAACACAGTGTAAATTGAACATTAAACTCAGCATGGACGACATGAAGCATTGTACCGACCATCAGATTTTGGCCTTATTTTTCAAAACCTTCAGCACTGCAGCATTCTTGGTTCTAGAGATGAAATCCAAAGAACAAACCTTTTCCACTTTAATAATATTATTTAACAATTTTTTTTAACTAGAGAAAGTAGTATCTGCATTGGGTTTTAATTTATATTTAATTTTATTTCATTTATATTTATATTTATATTTATAATTTATATGAAAATATAAAAATGTCCTTTAAGACTATGATATTTAGGATGTAGATTTTCGTCCTACCTCTGTTGAGCTTGCCAAGCACTGTGAACTCAAAGATCTTGGTATTGTCCCTTCGAGAGTACAGGCCAAATATTGTGGTTCCTGTCTTTGGCTGAAGCTTAAATGTTGTAAGGATGAACACTTCATTCACAGATGAAGCTGTGAGTCCCTGTTCCACAAGATCAGGTAGGGATTCTGGTGTTGCTAGAAGGTCATAAACTGCAAAATAAGGACTAATTAGCCATCTCTTTAAAAAAAGACTCTGTACTACATACCCAAATTGATTAAACCACCCCTATTTTAATGAATTCAGAGCCCTTGCTTATTAAAATTAATAAAACTCTAAAAAAACTAAACGTTAAAAAAGTAAAACACCAGCAACAAAATGGAACCATCATATCTGATTTCCTGGCTTTGTGTTTCATCATGAATACAGCTTTCATATCCTTTTTTTAAAGGCCCATTTTAATATGACATAGTTTTGTATGCAAAGTTGCTTCTTGACTATGTGCTATAACAGTATAAATGCCAAATATGTATATGTATATGTATATGTATATGTATATGTATATGTATATGTATCAGCGCTATACAATTGATGAATTGACAAATTGAGAAATTACACAGAACACCTTAAGGTTAAAGATGTGGTGATTCAGCTATTTGAACTGATAAACAAATGGATCTGAATAAGAACATCATAACACAGAAAAGAGTGAAGGAGGCCACTTGACTCATGGATGCTAATAGTTTGATGAGAACCCAAAAAAGTATACAGGTTTAAGCTACGGTAATTTGTCGTTTGCTGTCAGTTTCTTTTGTTTTGTCTTCATGATATAATGTGTAAACACATTTTCACTTTTACATTTGATATGAAGTACTTATTAAATGTTCTAGGTATTATTCCACTACATATGAACATTGTGTAGTGCAGAGGTTCACAAACCTGGTTCTGGGGAGCCACATACCTACAGTAGTTTCCATTCCAGCTCAGCTCTTTATTTAATCCATACATCCATTTTCTATTTGCTTTATACAATTCAGGCACACGGCAGAGCTGGAACCTACCCCAGCAAGCAATGGGTGCAAGGCAGGATGTACTGTATCCTGGAGGGGGCGCCAGTCATCGCAGGCCAGACAGACACAATCAGAGATACGCATGTACTGTACTCACACAAGGCCTGTTTCCTCAAAGCCAATTAACTAGCCATTACATATCCAAATCAGTGTCTTTGGATAATAGAAGGAAACTGGAGCACTTGGAGGAAACCCATGCAAACAAGGGGAGAACATATAAACTCCAGGCAGACAGCACCCCAGGAATTGAACCCAAGGCCCCACTACTGTGAGGCAGCAATGATAACACCTGCGCCACTTTGCCTTCCCTCTTTATTTAATTGAACTTGAACTAACTTGTTTCTTGATTGGATCCATCCGCAAGTTTTTCCTCCTGAAATCTTTCTATGTAGATTTCAAAAGTGAGACGTCTTAAGTTGCTTATGAAACACAACATTTCAGTGGAAACCTCTGAAAATTATTTAGGTACTAAAGAACAATTAAAGAGTTCAAATAATCGTGTAACCGAAGATACAGCTGGAATGAAAACCAGTAGGCATGTGGACCCCAAGGACTAGAGGATAGAGTGAAACCCCTTGTGCAGGGGAATACTGTATTAAAAACAATAGATGAGTTACTGTTCATTAATACACAATTAGCCAAAAAAAAACAGTTTAAGCCTGCTTTACTCATAATCAAAACTTCATACACTTCTTCTTTGACCTGTGAATGATAATGATAAAGTTTTTAAAGTCATACAGCATAAGCTGCCCCCCCTTTATTCTTTCAAATATTAAATATCCAATTCTAAACCCACATAATCACCAGGCTGAAGAGTGGTACTTGAGCCCAGACATGAGTAGCTAGCAAGGTCCTTTTGATGACTGGTTAACCTAATCCACTAAAGCTGCCATAATATGAGGCCTTGCCTTAATATGACGATATTATTAGTGATTTCACCTGTTTTCAACTGTCTACAGCAGAGGTTAGAGTGTCAGTTCAAAATGAATAAACCACAGTTTATTTTTTCTCCTTTTCATCTATAAGCACTGATGTTTGTTTTGTCCTTCCTGAGGATCATGGACCTAAACTATTGAGAACTTGCACCAGCTTTTTCCTTGGATGAGTGGTTTAGCTCACACAGCAGATACTTCATTTAAACTCGCAACCGCATTGTAATCTGCCATATGCATGCTCATTTGCAGCAAATTGTTTTAAGCTGCAGTAAAATGACGTATTTCTGTCTATTGTTATGAATGATTTTTTTAAACCAGAAAAACAGTGTTTGTGCATATCTTGAACTTTATTGCATGTTATTAAAATCATCTGAAATTCTGAGCTAAATAATACAATCATTCCTTAAAATGTGTCAGACAGCATTAAGAAAAAAAAACCCAAAGAATTTAATATGCTGTAATGTAGACCTAACCTGTAGAAGTAGAGTTAAGGGATGCTGTTTTACTTTAAGATTGGATAAGATTAGGATTCACAGCTTTAGGTTTCACTAAACCTCACATTTAATGAGCTGAGTAAGCCCAAGCATGGTGTTTGGAGCCCAGGCAACAGAACCCAGGTGATTATATATAAAGACAAATACATATGTACTGTAAATGTGTTACACATTACCTAAATATTTTAAGTACATGAATCCCTTAAATATTAAAGATTTTACAAAATCCTGGTTTCATATTCTTACATGTACACTCCCCCACACACACTGATATTAATTTCCTTAACATATTTGGCATTTTAAAGGTTTGCTTAAATGCCATATATTTATCTGGATACTGTATACAGTATGTGTTAATAATGCAAACCATTGAATTAGCCTCAAATGAGTTATAGAAGAAAGCCTTTCAGTTAAATTAAATCCAGACAGGACGAAACACCAGAGGGGCTATTGCTGTAATTGAAACACTCTGCAGCTGCACCGCCACATTAGCAAGCAGAACCAACCATGCTTCTGTTTATCTAATTAGCCGATGCAATATATTCTTTGGGTCTTCTATTGCACATACTGTATCCATTTGAAATAAATCAAATAATTCCATTCTCTTGGTTTCAAATATCCATAGCTTCTTTCTTGTAATTCTTTGTATTTTTCCAAATCATAGATGTTTCCCTGCTGTGTAATTGGTAGCAGTATTACAGAGATCAGCCAAATGCCAAGATTTCTTTAATATGATTAGAGCCTTTGAAAATGAATTTTCTTTAGGTTTATGTTTTATCTGTTGTCATTTTTTTAAATGTAACACAAATCATATTGCCCTAAAAAGTCAAGACAGTGGTGTTGCTGCTCTTTTTAACTAGCTGAAGAACTATGCAAACTTGAGCCAAACCACTTAAGGAAAATGTTTGACTTGTATTCATAAGATGATCTCACGGCAGTTCTTTCAGATGAGTTCACCTCTACTTGACCACAATATTAACAAAAACAAAAGACATTTGATATAACTGCGTATCCCTTCTGAGTAAAACAAAGTAGTGAACTCTAAGTGTATTTTGCAGAGCAGGTACACTCATCCTCCTAACTTTACCAGCAAAGACAGGTAGGTAGTATAGTATACAGATGCATCTAAACATAATATGAATATACAGGTATTGTATATGAATAAACAGGTATGTAAAGAGTATCTTTATAAAGGTACTGTTCATTCAGAGAAAATAAAAAGTTTTACTCACTTACCTTGAGATTGCAAAGACAGGCTTGAGAACAACTGTAACACAACCTGTGAAATAAGTAGCCCCCTCTTCCACAAAGACATTCTCATCACTTTAAATGCAGATTCCTAGTCCAAATACTAGTATTCGTCTAGAATAAATTGAAAGTTGGGGATGGACAGACTCCTGATTCAGGTTCAATTGTGAGAAACTAGACTGTCATAGCTACTGTGTAATGTGCTTTCTTAGGCAGTTCACTGGAAATACTCCTCAGCTCCTCCAGAGAAAAAATACAATGACTCTTGAGTGAAGGTTTAAGTGGTTTTCAGATGACCTCATACTGAGAAGGTGTGACCAAAGACACAAAAACCCTATTGGTCCAGGGACACCATGCCTGGGCTCATTCGGCTCCTTAAATTTGAGGTTTAGTGAGCATAAAGCTGTGAACCCTGATCTCTTCAAACTTAAAGTAAAACAGCATCCTTTAACTCTATTGTATGTCTACAGGTTAGGTATGCATCATACAACGTTAAACCGTGTGTATATCCACAGTGCTATGGCTTCTCCAGCTGACAAAAGTGATTGGTTTCATATTCACATAAAATGAAAATATCAAATTGTTTTAGAACACACACTGTATTTATGACTTGTGTATTGAAATACATAAACCATTTAAATCTTGTGACAAATATGTGTTTTTTTCCTACTAAATATCCATAATAATTTATTAACATGTACAGTGTAATATGTGCACTTAAAACTATAAACATGGATGAACTACAAAACAATTACATGTTATCTTTTGCTTTTTTCAGCTATTCAATATCTCTGATTTTGAACACGTAACTTTTGTTATTATCTACAGAATGACATACCAGTGTCTTGATAGTCATTTGCATGTTGCTTGTTTAAAAACGATTTTTTTAGACCTCTGTACAATGTTTTAACGGCCAGGATATAATGTTTTAGGCTCGTGTTGAATTACTGAATTTCTTCAAGCAACACTCACTTTTTTTCCAAACCAGTAGGAACATTCATATTATGACTCAATTTGATGGCTTAGCAAAATAGAACTGATTACTATGGAGACAGTAAAAAGACCCTTCTTCACAATCGGTGTTTTACAGTACTTTATGTAAAGAACAGGTAATGATAAAAAGATAAGCCTTTTCTGAATGCCCTGTCTGGAGAACACATAACATATGCATCAAAATTTTAGCAGGAGAAATCAGTAACAGTCTGATAGTTACAAGTTCACTATTAAAGAAAAGGCATGTAAAGTAAATGGACAAAGAAAAGGGCCACAAAAAGTTACTTTCATTGTTCCAACAATTGTTTGTTGTCAATGAGCTATCTGAGCACTACTTTTTTCAGCTTCCTTCTGTTGTTGTTTCATGGACTGTTTCTAACTAAGAGTATTGGGTTATGCCTAACTACAGTATGTTTACTCTAAATATTGACATTCCTCTGTGTCCAAGAGAAAAAAACAACTGATTTGAGTAAGACTAGGCAAACTTAGTAATTCAGTCTCTATGGCATAACCTGCACTGGTGAAATTCCAAGTTAAGTATCTGTAACCAATCATTTTAAGAGTTATTGGCTTTTGTAATAGTAACACTACAGGTATTTCCTTCAAAACCATATCATTACCAAAAATGACATACATAACTTTACAGGACTATTCTAAACACATCCTTCAGGATTTTGGTTCATGGGAAAGTATTGCTTTGAATCATTTCTTGGAAAGAGATCACTGGCAAAAACGTTTTGATTATGTCATGTTTAACTTCATCATACTGTCTTTAAATTTTCTGTGACAGCTGAATTACCAATCTAGACACATGAACCTTGAAAACAAAACAATAAGAAAAATGTTTCAGTAGTTTAGAAATTCTGTTTTTAAGAATTGGTCATCCACCAGAAGACTTGTCCATCTGAATATGATGACTTTTTTGTAAAGGAAAAAGACAGAAACATAACTTTAAGGTCTCAGAATCAGAAAGACAAAATATCTCATTGGAACTCACTCATTTAATATTAGCCATAACTGTAAGAACAGATGTAATACATTTTGTGCGTGGTAGATTTTTAAACTAAATATTTTGACTTATAAATTAGCAGTGAAAGGAAAAAGTAATGTAAGCTTTACAGTACTCTAGTTGTTAATAGATGAAACATACAAGCAATAGAATTACAGACAAATGCAGAAAAATGTCTTATTTGAAAAAAAACAATATGCTTGAGAGAGACTGGGATCCAATTTTACAATGAATGGTTATTAGAGCATGATTACAAGTACAAACTAAAGAATTTGTGGGGAAATGTTTACAATCTACCACTAAAACCACTTCATGTCATTGATGTTTGGCACAAAACATTTCTCTCAAGTTTAAGTATAAGACATGCAGAGAGCATGAAGTTTAAAATAAAACTGTCAGCAGTTAAAAATCATGATTTAGTCATCCTGACTAAATCTATGAAACACTAGATTACATTAGATACAGTATATGTAATATATAACAGTTTAGACCAATTTGGACCAGTTGTTGGAGATTTAGTTTAGACCTTTCCCAGAAGCCAGTTAACGTACCCACATGTCTTTAGACTGTGGAAGAAACCAGGGCACTTGGAAGAAATCCAGGTACACACAGGGAGAATATACAGTACAAGCTATACAGGATCACAGATCTAAAACTGAACCCAGGACATTATTGCAGAGAGGCAGTAATGCTAACTGCTGTGCCACCATTCTGCTCTACTGCTATCATATACAGTAAGTTAATATACTGTACAGTTTAAAAATCTACTCTGCACAAAACGTGTTACACCTATTTCAACAGTTATGTATTGCATTATATTATATTAAAGCTAGGGAACAATTTCCCCATGTACCTTTAGATTTACTTCTAGTATGATTATAAAAAATTAAACACTTTTTTCACAATTATATTCAGTTTTGAATGTAAAGGACACTTGTATGTGTGACTCTTGCATGTAAGACGTGCAGCCCAGCTGACCACAGTGTTTACAGACATCTTTAACTC